GATGGATGGATGGATGGATGGATGGATGGATGGATGGATGGATGGATGGATGGATGGATGGATGGATGGATGGATGGATGGATTGAACTATATCTTTAAGGTCATACTGCTGAAATTAATCATTTTCTAAACCCTGGTCAGTTCTTCTATCCCTGAAGGGAAGAAAGCATCTCTGCAGCAAGATAAGTTTGGGAGATATTATGTTTTATGAAATTATTAGTGTTAGTTTTAGGCCACACAAAAAATTTTTGTTTTTTTTTTGTTTTTTTTGCTTGTAACTTTATTTAGACATACAAAAAAATGTCCCTTTGTGTTTAAATAGAGAGTATTGTGACTGGAAGGCTTAGGCTGTAGGAAAAGCTTAAGAACTGCTTCCTTCTTATAACAAAATTAAGCTGCACTAAAAAAACAATTAACAATTCAGTAATAACCCAGAAACATAGACTTCTGCTACAACGATCATCTTCAAATCCGATGTTGTCCACAGCTTTTTTAAACTAAGAAAGGATGTAGGAGACTTTAACTCTAAATAACCAAATTCTACCTCCAGCAGCAGAAATCTCATTCTGGTTTTCTTTTTGACTTTGAAAGGTGATTTTACATTTATCTCTAAAATTACATTTACTTTCTGTAATAGAAAATAACTTCTGGATCCATTCTGGTAGAGATTTAATGTTTGATTTGTATATTAATTGCTTCATTCTATGATTTACAAGATCTTTATATTTCATTATATTTAAATTTATAAATAGTAGATTGGTGTGTTCACAAAATCCTGCTTTATTTATAGTATGCATGGCTCTTTTTTGCTGCAACGCAGTCCTTTCAGTTGTATTTTTTTAAGTTGTTCCTCATAATTCCACACAGTATGTTAAATAATGGTATATTAGACAGTAATACATTAAATACAAACTTTTAAAATGTAGTATGTTCTTTGTTTAATGTAAAATTGCTTCTGAAATTGAAAATTCTTCCTTTTTCATATTCAATATGATGTTTTCAGCTTAGTTTATGATCAGTTACTACTCCCCAAAATGTTTTTTTTTTTTTTTTTTTACTTAGGTCATATGGTTAATTTGGGTCTTATTAAACCAATTCATCTTCATCCACATTTCTACATAACTTCCAACAATCTTCATATAGATTGTATTACTTTGTGTCAAATGTGGCTTCCTTTAGACCCCTATTTAATAAAGAGCAGATTATGACGTAAGATTAATAGTTTTACTTTAATTACTGGATTTAGTTAAGATGCTTTGGGTATTCTTTCAAAGCATAACCATGATTTAAACCTCTCCATAACATTTCTCTGTCGGTTTTTATTTGTCACCATCTGCGGTACAGAAATATCGCCGCTAGATGTCACTCTAAATCCACATTTGAATCAGTTTTCTAACTTTTCTGTCTCGCATTCTCACGGCATTCACACAAACACATTTGTACAAATGAAGGGAAGCACAGCAACGAGAGGTTGCCATACATTTCCCAAATATACAGCTGCAGTACCCAATCAAATGCTTTTCTTGTGTGTTGTCGTCTCCAAAGAAGCCATAATTATGTATTCCAGCAGGGGGCACTGTTCACCTCAACAGGACGCTCTTTTGCGCTGGAAAGTGATTATGTAATGTTTGTAATTATGGACGCTTCTTTTGCAAGGTAACGTTTTTTGATATGTTTATGCAGAAGATGAAGGTCACCATATGGAATTCATGAAAATAAATAGGGTACCCACCTAACACATTGCTACTATAATGACTACTCAGATGCATCCTCATCACGCAGATTCATCTTTACTGCTTGAAAGTTACAAACACAATTGTTAGCGGAGTTTACTACAGGCCACGCCCCGCAAGTCCAGCTGGTGGCAACACTCGTGATGACATCACCGAAACGGGCTCACATTGGCTCCGAGACGTTCTCCGCTCGTCCAATCAACAGCCGAGGAAGTGACGTTAGCCAGAATGGCTCCCGTTCACTTACAATGGAGGGGGCGCGGCTTGGAAACCACCGACGTCAGAGCGAAGTCAGCTTCTGCGTCGTGATTGGCTAAGAGTGGCGAACGTGAGCGTCTGTTGCTGAGAGAAAAGGAAGAGGGGATGTAGCGGATGGTTGGTTGCGGTCGGCTGCGCCACGCAAAGTGCGAATCGGTTCAGAAAATAACTTTTGGGCTAAGACACTGGTTCCTTTTTAATTTTTGTTTATTTTGTAGGCATTTACAGGGGTGTTACTGAAAGAAGAACAGCAAATATGTGTAAAAACGTGTTTCAAGACAATTAGATGTGTAAATGTCCGGACACGGCTTTTTGAATCCTTTCTGCAACAACTTGTGTTTGTTGATGCTTTATCACGGTCTACTCCTGGATAGTACTTTTGCTGTCAATTATGGTAAACATACTCCTCAAGAGATGAGAAGAAGGAGGGGACATTTGTGCCTTTCTATTGGCTGGCGGTCATATGCTCCCTCCTCTCTCCCCTCACTCATGCTGTTCCTATGGTTCCCAAAGCTCTTATTGGATACTGTAAAGTTTGGGACAGGACACCGGTTTCGCTAAGCATCCCTGCCGCCATTGGCTTGTTCTCTCTGTCCGTCAAATAGATTGTGACAGCTGGCCCCGCCCTCTTCGTACCAAAGACCGAACTGATTGGCTACTGTAACTGTCAGCAGGCTGTCATTGGTCAGTTCCCCCAGCTGTTAGTGGTTCATTCACCATTTTGTGAATGTAGTGGAAAAGGAGAGCGATAGTTTTTTTTTTGGGACCCTTGCTTGAGTTTCTGCGGAGGGGAAAAGACATGTTTTGTGCAGGAAAAGTAAAGTGCGCATTTAGAGCCGACAGCAGAGGGATTGTTATTGGGAGTTGTTCTTGTCTCCCCGTCTGGAAAATAGGACCGTAAATCTTTCTATGGCAAGAGGAGAAAAAAAACGTTAGAGGTGAGTTGGGAGCAAGTTGGGAACGAGCTGGTGAAGCTAAACTAGCGTCAATTTTCTATTTTTGTTCAAGAGTTAACACAAGACCGGGTGGTAAAGGAGTCAATGGTCGTCGAACCGTCCAAAAGAAACGGAGTGACAAGGGGAAAAACCCTAAAGACAGGGGAGGGGTGGGAGCGTAACAGCTTAAAAAAAAAAACTTTCTGAAATGTTTTCCCATCATCCTACACAAACATCCCAACATTTATTCGGTTGGCATCGGCGTCGCCTGTTTAATCGTAGAACACTTTGATGTTTTTCTTGACCTTAGTTTTCTGTTTGGCTCGTAACCCGCGGCACGTAGCGTAGTAAAAACAAGCGAGCCATTTGCAGGCGCTGCAGTCTCAATGTTTACCAACACGGAAAAGCGGTCTAAATAGGAATACTTATTTTCAAACGAGTCAGGGACAAACTAAAACGAGGATGTTGCGAAAACATCACCGTGTCGTTTTGTGGTTCTCTTCAACCGCCTCGTACTACGACTACTACATATACCACTATAGTACCAGCGCTACTGCTGCTTACTAGAGCGATAACACTAACAGATTCCTGCTTCAATCCAAGTTTTATAACAATATTAGTATATTTATATATATACCCAAGGTAACTTTCAATAAGGAACCCTCAATCTGTCGAGTTTTTGTGCATAATTTGTGTATTTTCGTGTGTTTTTGCGTGTTACAAACGCTTACATGAGCTTTGAGGTTGAGTTAATTAACTAAGACTTTCAAACCGGTTGGTTTGTGTTTGTAAGCCAGAAACCATCCTGCACAATCGCCTCCAGTCATGATATACTTGTTTGACATTGTGGAGCGCCTTTCGTAGTACTCAGAGAGAGAAGCTTTAGGTGTTTTCTCGGCTTTTCCTCTCGTCACTTTTCCTGCTCTGCTATCCCGCAGTCACAGGCGATGCATCTGCATCTGCACATACTTGCAGTTTTTATTTCGAGTCATGTTTAAATTTCATTTTTTTTTTTATTTGTTATTTGCACGTTTCCACTGTGGCATGCATTCTCCATTATCCCCCATCAATGCTCCTGTGTGGTCATGATGTTGACGAGCAGTTGGGCATTGATGTGACATTGGCATTTCTGCCATTTGGTGCCCAACAAATACACTCTTTTCTGGGCTATGCTACAACTCAGAGGTCAGTCCTGTGTACAAATGTTTGAGCATCTGCTTGATGCACCAAATTGATAGAACAAAATAGGATAGCCCAATTTTTCTCTGATTGGAATACCTTGATATGGGATTTAAAAGTAGGAACTCCAACCATTTTAATGTAAAACTGCATCAGCCAACAGCAATTGCTTTTTTTTATATTTGTTTCAAAAGGCCATTGTTCTGATTCATTCATTTTTGTTGGATTAAAAGCCCATGAGAAAAATACCAGATTTCTTAGCCCTTTAGTGTGTTATAACGAAGCAAAAGAAAAACAGACATCTGTATCTGCAGGGGGAAAAAAAGCACTATCGGTGCATCTTTTTATTTTATTTTTCATGATGCTATTCATTACCTTCAACAATCTCCTACACAGCTGGCATATTTGTAGAACAAATGAGCAAAAAGCACTCCCTCTCACTTATAAACACACACAGCTCACCCTAAAATACCAGAACTCCATATTCCCTCTATCAATGTCATGTTTTCTAAGAAATCTCCATCTCACAGATGAGCTTATGAGCAAATCATGTTTCTGTTGAAGAGAGCGTGTTTTTTGCCGTTTCATGTGTGACAGTGCGTTCCCTGTTGACCCAGTTGGGGTGAAAGAAAAAAAGGACCTTCTACTCCGCAGACTACAAGGGCCACGGCAGTCTTCACCATGACAGTTGTCCTTCTTTCCTGCTCCTTACGTTCTCCCTTCTCCGTCACCGCAGCCCCGCGCCCAGAAAGACACCCATAAAGTCTTTCAGGACAGAGAGATGAGCAGCACATTGCCTCCATATATACATTCTCTTTGACATGAGCTGCAAATGCAGCATTGCACAGACTCTGACACCCTCTTGTGCAGCAAGCCGCTTTGATTGTCACCCCACCTTTTCATTTCGCGCATACAACCTGTGCCATGATGCAGCGGGGCACAGGCTCCCCTCACTTCAACAATCTTAATAAACCCTCGTGTTTATTAGACGCGGATAGTTATGTAATAAATGCATATATATACACACTACAACCTAATTTTATCATGGCAGCAAAAAGATGAGAACTCTTAATAAATAAGTGTGTATGCCCATGGTGCTTAAATGCACCGGCCTCTAAACCTAAAATCTCTCAATAAAGATTTTTATTCGTACTAAATTGTGCAGTTGAACCTAATCAAAAAATTACTTCATGTTCACAGCAGATATGTAAAATTCACACGACAAAAAACTATTGTGTAAATGTAAAGGATGGTTTACATGGTAGAATAAGTGTGTGATAATATCTAGTTCCAGGGGAGAGTTTAATAGCATATGCATGACTGCGCTGTAAATTCCAGAGAGGGCATTTAGCGTCTGCGTAAAGTTTAGTTTTGCTGCTGTCGGGGTCCACGTTACAAGGAGGGTCGCTTTATCCTCTATGTTTATAGGTGGAACAGCCATTTAAAGGGAGTCCAGTTGAGTGCCATGGAGATTGTGACGACCTATCTATTTGAGATTTACAGTTTGCTTTGGATCCGTGCAGCAGCAAGCTGTGTCTGATGTTAGCTGGACAGTGTCAGGACTTGTCCAGATCAACCCCTGAATTCCTCTCTTTGCTTCATCCGAATTCAGCTCAGAAAAAAAAACATGTCTTTCCAGCATTGTTTTTTTTCTTTACTTTCACAGTTTTGACTGACATTTTACACACTTCAGCAGCTCTCAACATATGGGAATTCTAATTTAGTTCTACTCTTTAGCATCAAGACAGTTTGTTTAAACAAATGAAAGTCAGCATGGATTGGTTATTTTTACATTTAAGAGACATTTTTACATATGTCTCTCTTAAACATGGAAATAAGGGATTTAAATCGGATAAATCACTATAATTTAACTTGTGACTAGTTGGCAAAACAAAAACACATTTAAAATTTTTGTTGGAAGTAAAAAGAATGAACAAAAAGAGCATTTTCACAATTACAAAAGTATACATTTGCCTCAGGATGTTACTACTCTAGATATAAAAGATAGATTCATGTCTAATTCTATAACTTCAGATGTTAAAATGGAAGTATGCACAGAAACACACCCAGCCTGGCAATGGCTTATCAGCCAAAGTCAGGGTATTTTGGGATGGCCATGAGCATAACAAATGACATATTTCTGTGGTAAGATCAGATCCTCGACACTCATTTAACCAAATAGTCCGTCAGACGTGTGGCTCTGACTGTTTCCTCTTTCTCCCATTTTTCTAAAGCTCCTCTACAGACCCAGCATTCCCAGGCCAGGCCCAGTCGTCTCCTCTAACGAAGGGGAACTTGGTCTGGTACTGGTGGGAGGTACATTACTCCAGTCAGAAATGTCTTTCTTTTTCTTTTCCTTAATTTTCAGGGATTAACTATTTAAAAAAACTTTTAAATGCACATTGCTGCTTTTTTTTTCTATTTTTGTCTTTTTTTTTTACTTTCTCTTAGTATCTTCCATGGTGTTATTTATTTTTTTCTCCTTTTTTTTTCATAAGACTTTCTGAGTCAGCTTTTACGTCTGCTGTCTATGTGTTTTTGCCATTGTTTCACCCAAATGTCCCCACAGTGGGACAAAAAGGCATTTTTAATGTTAGATAAAACCTCTAGAATGAAATCATGTGCTTTTTTTATTAGAAATCATGCAGATCTTCTTGGTTCACTTGTTTCGCTTATGTTTTTCATTGAACTTTATTCATAAATCAGGGAGACAAAAAAAACACAAACTGACGTATTTATGTCGAAATAAACCTTAACTCTTTTTTTTTATACTCTTTATATTTCAGAGACAGATTTGTAGATACCATCAAATATACACTGAAAGTTTAAGTGTTTTTTTTTATCCTGACCGATACATATATCCAGGTTTTTTTGCATAGTTGTGTTTTTTGCAGTCAGACCAACCTATTTAAATTTTAACATATATATATATATATATATATATATATATATATATATATATATATATATATATATATATATATATCAAAAATTCAAACATAAGACCTGTGCTCCAAGGTTTGAATCCAGTAGAAAATGAAGGAATTACAAGATTATCCTCATTTATGCATCATAGCATATGTTCCTAAT